GATTATACTCGTAGACGTTGATCTGCAGTGCTAACTAGCTAACTACTGCGACAGAAACAACACATATGTACATGACTTTAAATACACATGATGCAAACGCACACAAAATAAATAGGATTAGGTACTTAATTCATAAAGTGGCACGACTTGAAATCCTAATTGCATTTAATTCATCACAAAAGTATATCGCAAACCTAAGTAACGATAGAAACATCAAAATTGCAGCAAGTTCCGTTCGTTGTTTAAAAAGTTTCAAGAATTGCTGATACAAGTAAAATATTTTTATGAAGTTGCTTACTGAAGCTAAAGTACGCGCGCTGCAGGAAGCACGAGGACGTTGCGACTCGACAAAATTATTTTAACTTTCCAAACTTGTTCAGCTGCGAGTTTCTTAAATCCTGACTAAAGTTATCAAATTGAAAAGTTATTCACAGTAAAACTATTCGGGTTTATTAGTATTATTGACTCCGCCACCTAGATCTAGATACCTAGAGATCAAGAACAAATTAATGATAAATTGCTGTGTATAGTTATCATAAGTGACGTTTTAAGTTTCATTCATATGAGTGGTACTCATATTTTTTTTTATAAATTACGTACCTAATACTTGTTTAAGTAACGCTATTGTTCAAGAGTCAATGAGATAAACTTTTGAGATAGCAAAACCTTTGCCACAATACATAAATAACTATGTATGTATTGTGGCAAATATTTTATGTACTGAACTCAGTACATAAAATAAATCAATGATTTTGATATCAGTTGGAAAATTCCCTCATAATCTATTACATACCTATCTGCGTTGAATCGAGTCGCGCCCCGTTATTGGTCGCGCATTCACGCGCCGCGCGGATGGCTCGCTGCTGCTGCTGTTAGACTACCCGCCATCCCTCAAAAACATAATTATCAGATCACATTGTACGCTAAAAAATATTTAAATGCTATTATTAGTAGTAAATATTAATTAATTTCTACTATGTAGTCGTGTATCTCAAAATGTTAAGTTAAGGACAGTAGAATCCCAGCACCATTCGCAATGATCCTACCGCACCAGTGTTGCTTATGTTTGTACCGTTAACTTGAATATTAATTAACGCATACAATAGATACGAATTAGTCAGAATGAAGCGAAGCGTGCAGCAAAGGTGATCATTTGCATAATAGGTGCGAGCGCGAGCGCGAATGCTGCGTTTGATTTATTGGGTGATTCGGAAAACCATGAAATGTTTATGTAATCTAATCTCTTCGGAGAGAAAATAATTATTTTGAAGATATCGGTATAAAAGAATAATACATTAAGGTAGCTGTTTTTTAGAAAATGATTCACATAATGCATGATGTTAACTGATTGGTAATGATGCTGTATACAGCATGTGCAGTGTGCACCCTAATTTTATTATAAAATTGTGACACTTACTCTACGTCTACATACGTGCCTGCCTGTAAATAACATTGTTTCCTAGTTAAGATAAAGGCAAGAGGCAGGCTGTGTGTTATGTTCATACTGATTAGCGATGACAGATTAGCTCCAACGATGATGTCGACCTCCTTTTGTTTTGCTTTAATTATGTATTTATAGATATAGAAAAACGTATGGCTACATAGAATGCGTTTTTCCATCGGCTCTTACAGAATTATTTGTATCGTGGCCAAGCACGCGTATCATATCACTCTAGCGCGAGGCGTAAACAACTACGGGCGCGCCCGGTGGCCGGCCAGCCAGCACTACAGGCGTCAGGTACTCACGTGCTTACACAACGGTTGTGTTAAGATACATCTTAGAATGTTGTAGTATTACCTTAAAATATTAAAATGTATTCCTGTATCAGATTTAATGGTTATCTTAGACATAGGTACATAGTAATGAATAAATGCTAAACTAATAATTACAAACGATATAGAACTTTTTTCTTATTTGTCCTAAAAAAACACGTACTACAACATTGCTCTAGACTAATTTTATTTTACAGAATAAAAATAAAGAAGCTTTCAGTACCTAATGCGCAATTCAATTTATTGTTCCCTTCATCTGGCCGATCTCTCCGCGTCGCCCTGTGTGGAGCGGAGACGCGGGCACGAGGCGGAGAGCTCCGCTCCGTCATTTATCACCCGAATGTACTGCCGCGGCTGAGTCGGTATATCGAGTGAGGCGCCCGTGACTTACGGCGCGATAATCTCTCGCTACTTCATTATTATGGCTCCAGTGTGCTTACCATGAGTTTACGTTAGGTGTGCTCGCTAGCGACTGCGTAAAAAAATGACATTAATTGTATGACATATTGTGCAGCGCCCCTAGCGGCTACTTTCAAGAAACAAAATCGTCATAGAGATTTTTGGCGTACTCGCTAGCGAGCACACCTAACGTAAACTCATGGTAGGTACACTGCTCTTCCGGAAGCTTAAAAGCCTATAAAAAATATCATGAAGTTAGATCACAACAAGATCTGTTGTTAAAACCGGTTATTATTGCAGATCACGATAATTATTTTCTAATTAGCACATGCGAGCATTGACTACAAATTATACCAATCCAATATCCTAAACCAATAATGTACGAGTAAATCATGGCAGTCGTGCCGGATCTGAATTACATAAATTGAATTAGCGGTAATAGTCTATCTGTTCTGTATGCTATATGGGAATTGATAATCCTATGAATTGTACTAATAGTGGGTTAAATTAACAACCAGTCTTCTAAAAAATTTTAACACCGTGGAAATTCCGTCGGTGTTCCAATCCAAGCAATAACAATAATAACTTCTGAAATTCGGTGCTACAGATTTATGTGTCATTTCGTGTTATATTACTTCGATTGTGTTCTCAATTCCGGCTTACGAATTGTCAAAACTGATAAATAGAGCCGGCCAGCTCGGGGCCGGGCTCGTGTGCCGCGCCGTAAATCTCGTTTTTATTGAGCCACGCCGGAAATCGAGGATGGAAATGAAGGTGCCCGCCGCCGCCGGCCCCGGACGCCGGACGCCGGGAGAGAGCCACGGTCCCATTTCGTCGATACCAAAACATTTCCTCTTGTTAAAAGGGAAAATAACTAACTAACAATAAGGTGGATCGCTCTCTCCTTTTTGCGATACAATATTATCAGTCATACTGACTGATCTCCACTTAATTAAACTATAAAATTAGTTATCTACTCAAGATAAATAACATTCTCAGAGAAAAATAACATTTGAACACTTCATAACTTATTTTCATAGCCGACATCAGTATAATAATATTTATTAATTATGAAATATAGGTACACTATAACGACAATAAAACTGTTCGGTTTATCTATACGGAACCATAAATTGTCTAAAGGCACAAAATTATGCGATAAATTTCAAATATTTCAAATTAATTTTGTCTCGTATTTTGGCCAATAATTGCAACTCTATTCATGTTGACATGTACAATGTTCTTGCATTCCGTGCATCTTGTAGAGCACGCCGTAAATCAGTGCTCGCGTGCAATGCGACCTGCATTGTTATTGCCGGCACGTGTTAACAACAAAAAATATCTCCACTCGACTGTAGTCCGTGATGTATGGCTTTGTGGAAACTCAATACAATGTAGCTTCGTATAAAATCAGCACGAACCTTCGCAATCTACATCTCGGCGGCTTTTCATCGGAATGGCGCCGTCCCTTCGGTCTCTTTCATCTCGCCGCTTACACGAGATGATACTTTAAGTAAACGCTGATATTAAAACGCGCTCTTGGTAACGTAAAGGCAACGTCTTCTTGAAATAGCACTGAGGAAACTTTAAGTAATATGCTGATATTTTTTATTTACTATCCTAATTTTTAGAGTACGTTTACCAAATAAATGTAGATAGTTGTAACATAAATATTAGATGCCTACGCTAGTCATGACGTGACACAAAATTTGTTAAAGATCATGCGATTAAAAAGTAGAGTTGAGTATAATTTATATCCAACTATAACGCTAATGAATTAGCCTAGTCTGAATAAAACTTGTACTCACTGTGTGGTCTACATAACTAGTAAACATACTCCTACATACAAACATACTATAGCGGAGTGAATCCGAAAAAAATGATCGCCCAAAGTCACTTGCATTGCCCTTAGCTAAACTGGAGCCCGCAACCAACCACGCTGACCTGTGCGGAAAGAACTAGAGCTACGATTAATATTCACTAATCAAAATCATAGGTAGACAAGCTCTCCGCTGCGGCCGCAGCATCGTAGCTCGTAGCTGTAACTGTAGCGCCGTAGCTCTTGCTCCGTAGCGCTGTGTAGCGGCGCGTCGTAGCAGACCAGCAGTTTAAAATCGCAAACCAGTCGAAAGATAGTCGTATAGCCCTTTTTTGTATGGAGTTTTGACAGATTTGATTTTCGATTCGTTCAGAAAGAGCCACGGGGGCAGGTAACTAGGCGCGGCGGTTTATTTTAGTGACTAGCGGCCGCCCGCGACTCCATTCGCGTTACCCCCTTAGGGGTGGAGTTTCGTAAAATCCTTTCTTAGCGGATGCCTACGTCATAACATCTACCTGACTGATTTCAGACCGATCTGTCCAGTGGTTTGGGCTGTGCGTTGATAGATTACACTATAATTCACACACTATAACAGTCAGTCAGTCACCTTTGAGTTATATTATATTTAGATTAACAACAGAACTAGGCTTCATAAATATTCCCTTTACACTAATTCTACATGAACAGTGATCACTCCAACCTACTGTCACAATTTAAATCTTTTACAATCCTATAGATCACCGAGGTATTGTGCTAGTGTGTAATGGAATATTGGGATACGTTACTGCCTAGCTCGCATAAATATTTATAACTTTGTACATTTTAAAGCATGTAAACCTTTGAAAAAGAGACTGACAATAGTGACTGAGTTTCTTGCGCTGCTTCTTCTCAGCACTGGCCCATTTATTGTCCTGAAGCAGTGGTAGGGTTAATACTGGGACGTGTAAAAGTGCTTTTTTTAAGCCTATTTACAGAAATAAATGAGTTTTAATGAGTTTTAGTTTTTAATATGGTTGTCGTTGCAGTGCTGTCGTGCGGCGAGGCGGGCGGCGGCGCGCGGGCCAAGCGCTACGTGGGGCTGTACACCGGGCCCTACTTCGACCCGTCCGCGCCCAACAACATCACCACGCAGCTCGGCACTCACGCCTACCTGCCCTGCAAGGTAACTCACTACTGCTTCTTTGACTGAGTTTGTTGCGGCGCTTCTTCTCAGCACTTGCCAAATTCTTGTCTCGAAGCGCTGGTAGGGCAAAAAAAGAATGAGACATGTATAGGCTCCTTAAGAGCATTTGACGATTTGCAAGAACTAATTTAATTAGTCTAAACAAATAAAGCTAATTTTGGTTTTGATTTTGCATCACTGTCTTCAAATGTAACCAAATGCACAACAGCCCAAATATGAAACACAATTTTAGCAACCTATGCTATAGAACCGGGGAACCAGACGCAGGTTAGCGTAACATCAACTTTGTCGATATTCCACCAGCTGGTAAGGCCAGCTCGCACTAAGCGTTTCGATAACTCTTGAATAATGCGAACAGTGTACCTACCATGAGTTTACGTTAGATGTGCTCGCTAGCGAGTACGTCAAAAATCTCTATGACGATTTTGTTTCTTGAAAGTAGCCGCTAGAGGCGCTGCACAATATGTCATACAATTAATGTCATTTTTTTACGCAGTCGCTAGCGAGCACACCTAACGTAAACTCATGGTAAGCCCACTGATAGGGACTGGAATTTGCTGCCCATTGCACACTATAATCCGTGCCTTTTCAAGACGAGAGTAAATACGCAATTACAAGGCACATATGTACCATCCTAGACTGCATCTCACTTAACACCAGGTGCGATTGCGGCCAATTACGTGCCTTGATCTGCATTAAAGAAAACTCGTACTTTAACTTGTCATGTTAGGCAATATGATCTTTCTAGGCGGTGCACATTCCCTACTATTGTTCGTGAGTTAATAGTCATAATACTTTTACTCTTAAACCTACATCCGACACTCATACATACTCTATGTGTAACATAATAAATCGTTGTCTCCAACCAACTTAACTTACTCGAAAATACATACGAAAACGTTCTCCTCTGTTTCTCTTACACCCTCATATAATATTAACGTGCACATTCATCTTTCTGTACTGTACTGAATCGAGGATAGAAGTAAAACCGTTTCAGAAGCAATTTTCGTTGCGCCGGGTCATTTGAATAATTTTGAGCTCTAAATTCATCATAGTCACTGCCCGTGAATTATTGCCTCGCTCCGATATTGATTGTAATCTGCGCTATAGCATGCTGTCAGAAGCACAGAACTGCCTCACAATTTACATTTAAGCTCCAATATCGGTATATCAAATAATTTATAGGTTTACTGGAATACTCGTGTGTAAAGGTTTCTGGCAAATTCTGCTGTAGTTTACGAATTTGGTTCACCCTATAATAGTAAATGCATTGCAGGTATTAGGAATTGCTTTCATTTCTGTGGCCTATTTTACTATGTATTTAGGGCTTTTCAGGTTAATTTTCGCTTTCACGTAATTAAATAATAAGCTTCTATGATACCTTGTTAAAATAATTACGTCGTTGTGTATAGTCTAGTTCATAAATATATTGGAGTGCCAATATTTCAAAAGATTGTAGCGCAGTAGCGCAGTCGATACTGCGTTACCGCAATATATGTATTTATGATCAGCTTATATGATTACATTTGATTGATGTTTGAATTTGTATTGAAATGTATAATCGTTAAAATGCTAACAATATTTTATAAACTCGATTGTACCTCTTATGCAAATACGCATAGCCTCATTTTAATATGTTCACGATTGATAAACATTAACCAAGATGGTGGTGTCAATTGCAGGTTCGGCAGCTGAGCAACAAGTCGGTGTCGTGGATCCGGCGCCGCGACGCGCACATCCTCACGGTGGACCGCTTCACCTTCATCGCCGACGAGCGCTTCCAGGCCTTCCTGGTCGAGGCCACCGACACCTGGACCCTGCAGGTTCGTGCCATTTGAATGCACATCTAGTTCATCTAGGTACAAGCATTCAAAATTTTACAACTCACGAAAGAAGACTTTTAAAACAAGCGTTTTATGTTCCACCTTTTCAAATTTCAACTCCTAAGAAAAATCCTACCATAAATACCTACCTATTTTTGATAACCTAAAGTCAATAAACGAAGCCAATAACAGTTGTTCGCGCTTTGCAGACGCGATGGAATTCTATAAATAAAACTCGGAAACTGCTTATTTCGTTGTATTCTTGAGACGTTACAATTTTGATGTTGTTCGATCGGAATCTTAAAGACAAGTGAATTTACACAGTAGTTAACTCAAATTGATTGATAAAAGTTACTTATGTGGCAATTACAGTAGAGGTAAATTTTACTATTAGCATATGAGTAGGCGCGAGTAGGGCCGCAACAACAGTAAATTTTGTATACAAGCCACAAGCAACTTTCTGCACACATCCATACAGCTGTGTCAGCTGTAGTCAGCAATATTTTGTAATGTTAGTACCAAACTGTTTTCTCTACTTTCCTTTTAATCAACGTTTAAAGTCAAAAATAGTTTAAATATCATAGCTAAGCTTGCAGCAGACAACTGATAGATATTGTCTCGTTGCAGGTGAAGTACGTGCAGGCGCGCGACGCCGGCGTGTACGAGTGCCAGGTCGGCACCGAGCCCAAGATGAGCCACTTCGTGCAACTCAACGTTGTTGGTGAGTCACCTCATGTCTACATCGTTTGTTCGTTACAGCTAAAAATTATGTCCACTGCTGGACGTATTCACAAACATTACTATGAGGTCTCACAGTGCGCGTGGACGCACAGGGTGACACACGAACCAATCACAGAGCTTTATTCAACGCTGTGCGTTCGATTTGCTGCTTCACTTAAGCAAGCATCGATTGTGAATACGGGCGAAAGGCTTCCCCCAAGGATTTCCATAACGACCGGTCGGACACCGCCCACGTCAAGGCACCACCCGCTATCTCTACATATAGAGCACTTACTGGCTACTTGTTCTTTGGTCATAATAACTTAAGATCCTGGCAGCTCCCCAAAGCCGATTATTTACTTCTTATAAAAAAATAGCAAGATATTCTTCCCCTCTCCTAAACCAACAGGGTCCATAATTTGTATATAACGTAAACCACCATACCAAATATTGTAACATTATGGATGCAATAAATTATTGAGTACTGAAAAAAGTCTCACCGTGAAAAGTGTACTTAATTCTAACCTTTGGTTTTGTAGATTTGACAATAGTTATTTTTTACCATCGCACTTTGCATTGTTTTGAACTAGTGCCTATGGTATAAGCTGTGATGTGTGCGTTTCAGTGCCAAAGATCGAGATCATCGGCGAGTCGGACATGTACGTGAAGGCGGGCACGACGGTGTCGCTGAAGTGCGTCATCACGCAGGCGCTGGAGGAGCCGGCCTACATCTTCTGGTACCACAACGACGAGCGCGTGCTCAACTACGACAAGAGCCTCGTCGAGATCCGCATGGAGCGCGTCGCGCCCGACACCACGGTCAGTCTCCTACATTCTTACTATAAAGATACTGGCCAATAACTGGACACCTTTTACCATTCATTAAAATACATAACAAACAATATTCATTGTAGGTACTTAGCCCTGAAAACCGAGTTACTTTTCAATTTGCAGCTAAAATCAATTAATTTATTACTTAAGCAAGTGAAATAGTAAGACACGGTCTTAACGCGACGTTTATTAATGAGTTACATTATGTACTCACGGCTTGACGTTTCGGTTGCGATGCTGCAGCCGTGGTCACAAGCAGACTGCTTGTGACCACGTAACGAAATGGAACGCGAAAAAAATCTTATATTATGCAAGTGACTTTGCGAACTAATGACATCATTGGTTTCTTTTGTCATATAAAACCTTCTGAAAGCAGCGTTTCGAAAGTTCTTAAAAAAGACACAATGTCAATCGACTAGACGTATGCCCTGAATACTGACGGCAGTTATTGAAACACTCGAGGTAGATTTTAGAACAAAAAAGTGAAGTTTTATCCTAAGAAGACGTGTTTCCCTTGGCCCCGACAGGTGGGTAACCTGATCATCTACAGCCCGCGGCGCGAGGACTCGGGCAACTACTCGTGCTCGCCCTCCAACCTCGACTCCGCCTCCGTCGTGCTACACGTGCTCAGCGGTGAGTGCTCCGTGCTGCCAGTACTGGCAACACTGTTTTATTATCTCCTTCAAATGATTCTTAACCGATTGAGTCCCAGACGGCATTAATTAATGTCATAACAATTGATTATCTATTGTGTCTAGATTCGCGGAGCTTGAAGGATTAAAAGACCTTTTGATAATTTCTGCAAGGTCTGAAACTTTATGTGTGTAGGGGAGACTGGGTACTATTGTAACAGGGTACCCAGGTGAGGGGTACAAAGAGAACGACATGTGGGCGACAAGACAAGCAAGGCTGTATGGATTTGTCGCCCGCATGTTCTTCCCGTTGTACCCCTCATATACCAAGCAACGTTCGATAATATTTGAGTCATTACACCTGTACCCACTCTACATACTCATTGAAGTCACTCATCATTGGTGACGTAGATTGCCTTAGCTTGGTGCAAGCGAGCAACCCACCACCACTCATGGCCATACCAACCTTGCGGTTATACCAGAGTAAATACAAAGTAGATTATCTTCATAGAAACGCACCGAGCGCGGTTTGTATATGAGCGCGCCAATATACGTATGCGGCGCACACACACTGACAAAATTCGGCGCAACCACGACTGGCTCCCTGCTAATCCACGCTAAATTTTGTCAATATGTGCGTGCGCGCCGCATACGTATTGGCGCGCTCACATACAAACCGCGCCCGGTGCTTTTCTATGAAGATAACCTAGGTACTCATTAGTATTTACTCTGGTTATACTGGCCGAATCGCGGGAGGAGTGCGAGGAATTGCGGCTGCCGAGGGCAGATAGCACTCCACCGCTCCACACTTCTTCACTCCCTACAAGTTATTTCAAAATCAAAAATCAAAATCAAAATTATCTTTATTTGTTTATACTAATTAAATTAGTACTTGCAAATCGTCAAATGCTCTTAAGGAGCCTATACATGTCTCATTATTTTTTTGCCCTACCAGCGCTTCGAGACAAACATTTGGCAAGTGCTGAGAAGAAGCGCCGCAACAAACTCAGTCACCATTGTCTGCCGGTTTAAAAATATAAAAAAGTAGGAAGTTACAATACATTCAGAAGCAAGTTACTTACCACGCGCTCCCGTTGAAGAAGGTGGCCTTTAAGACGCCCATCTAGCACGAGACCGCGTGGCAATTTTGAATGTATTTCTTTAAAGCCGTGCTAATTTCTAGGTTAATTGTTGCGTTTTGAAACATATATATTTTACTAGCTTTCCGCCCGCGGCTTCGCCCGCGTGGAATTTTGTCTGTCACAGAAAAACTTTATCGCGCGCGTCCCTGTTTCAAAAACCGGGATAAAAACTATCCTATGTTCTTTCCCGGGACTCAAACTATCTCTATGCCAAATTTCATCAAAATCGGTTGCGAGGTTTAAGCGGGAAAGCGTAACAGACAGACAGACAGACAGACAGAGTTACTTTTGCATTTATAATATTAGTTGGGATGTCAGGTATATCTTTCCTTGACCAGTCCCCGAAGGCAGCGCCTGTTCACAGACATGACGTGTGAACCAGCCATCGCTTCACTCGACCTTATTATAGGGAATGTAACGACCCGCCTCACACGCCACTACCCCAGAGACATTTTAGTGAGCATGACAAGTCTAATTATTCACCCTTCGTCCTTCGGCCGTGTGCAGGCGAGCAGCCGGCGGCCATGCAGCACGGCAACGGCGCGGCGCGCGCGCCCGCTGACGTCACGCTGGCGCTGGCCGCGCTGGCCGCCGCGCCGCGCGCGCTGCTCAGGCTACTGGCGCTCGGCGCGCTCGCTCTCTTGTTCCTGTGAGTATGCTTGCGGCGAGCTGAGGAAGCCCACGCATGGGTAACATTTAGATGCATACCGCATAAAATGTAGATATAACCACGGTGGTTAAATGTTCCTCCTCCTGGGCAGAAACACTCCATAGCAAAAGGCTCAGAAAAACTATAGAAGTAAAGCATTCCTGTTACATGATTTTCTCACACAATTCTATTATTGAAAAATTTTCTTTTTGGACTTTTATCCACTAAGTGAACAGAAGATCTGGTGAAGGTTGCGGGAAGCACCTGGATGTAGTAGCGCAGGACTAGTCGTTGTGGACGGTTGGGGGGCCTTTGTCCAGTAGATGTCATTCGACCGGAACGAACGATAATATTCCGACAAATTCACAAACATCATGGAAAGATTGAGATGCGAGCATGCGAGAATAATTTACAAAGTCATAATAATAATTATTATATTTTTCAGTGTGCTGTGTCACGATGAGGACGTGGTTGTGGAACGCAAATAGCGGACCGCGCGGTCGGGGCCGCCCCCCGCGCGTTGATGCTCCGCGAGCGCCGCCGCGGGCCCGGGCCCCGGGACTGCGGGCCCGGACCGCCCGGGACTGCGGGCCGGACCGCCTGGCCCCCGGGCCCGCGGGCCGGACGCGGCCGGCGAGGCTGCCGCGGCTGCGAGCCGCACGTCCAGCACTACGCATGCGATGCCTAGTGACTTAAATTAAACGTATTGTAAAAATTTCAAATACTATATTGATTAGGTAAGGACGATGTCGTATGCGATGTGATATGAACGATATGAGAATCGACGAGTTGCGAGGTTATTTGTATCGGTACTAAAGTTTATATTATTATGGGAAACAAACTATGTACATAGAGGGCGCGGCCGCCCGTCGCCCGCGTCTCGCTCGCATTTGTAAAGTTGTACATATTACTTATATTAAATTAATTACTGATACGATCGATAATATAATTATATCCCGGCCCGCGGCCCCGGCCCGCAGGCTGCGGCCGCGGCGGCAGGCCCTCGACAACTCTATAGAGACATCGAATCGCTCGAGCCGGCGTCCGCGGGCGCCTCCTGGGACGCGTTACACAGTACAAACGTCGCGAGGAATCTTGTAGCGTCGTAATTATGCGTTACTTTGTCGGCCCCGGGCCCGCCGCGCGCTCGCCGCCGCGCCCCGTCTCTCGTTGTTTTATAAATCCATTTGACGGCTGTTGTACATACTCTTGGTGGATCCGTCGGAGGCGAGCGCGCGGCCGATATTTCAAAGTTTTCTTTACTTTATAAACGTCGTTTACGTTCAACTGAATAGTTTTATTGATACTGCTGAAATTCACGATTTTTACGATTTATCTAGCTAGAGTAAGTGAATGGCGTTTATAGGTAAATTTTTATAGATTTATTGTGCTCGTCACTCGGAATTTAAAATACCTACCGTACTCGTCGTTACGTTCGAACCTTGGGTAACAATAGTAAACAAATACGGTGGTGGTGGTGACGGTAGAGGTGGTGGTGATGGTAGAGGTGGCGGTTTCATATGGTTAGAAGGGACATGGTGCCTTTTAAACTCTTGAAATCAGATTGCCAAAGAAACAGACACAATGTTTCAGAGTGACGGTACACTCCGGCTCTCTGCGCCTTCGTTCACAAGGTCTTAAAACATCTCTTAATTGTACAGCCGGTAACAACATTAAATAACAACCTTATTCCTATAGGTGTAAGCAATATTTTATGTTTTCCTTAAGTTTGTTGCTGTTGTGCCTCCCTTGTGGCGCGTCGCAGGGCGCCGGCGTCTGTTATGTTAGTCTAAATCAATTACTTGTCAAACAGTGGTTCCGAGTTAAGTAAGTTTGGTTCGTTGACACTGTTACTGCCTCACTTGTAAATAATAATATAAGTAATACAAATAAAGATGAAATCGTTGAAACATTGCTTCTGGTATCATTCAACTTCCAATTTGATTTCTGTAATTTTTTTTATTTACTTTCACCCTTTCCAATTTCCTATAAGATAACAAACAAAATAATTTATTGGAAACTTTTATTTTCAAGAAACGAGTCAAACTCTCAAATTGAACATTTATATCAAACATGAAAATTGCAGATTAAAATATAGAATATTATAACAATATCATTGCAAAATTTTACTCATAAATATAATAACCTCACATTCGTGCATTCGATTTTAATTTATTAATATCAAATTTTAATAAAATCTTGTAATTAAATATTATGATTTTAAAATTTAGAAGATAAAAGTTTGCACACTCCTCAAGAATCACACGATCAGTCTTAACGAGCAGACTCTAATTTTGTAACATCGAATACAGGGTGGAATTTTGTAATGCCACCTGGAGGGAAAGTACCTACTCTTAATATTGTAGATAGAATTTTTTTCTCAAGAAAACATTCCTTTATTTTTGAAAAGAAATAGAACTGCATTCAAAGTTTTTTAAAAAATTTGCTTGCCACACCCGGGAATCGAACCAACTAAAACCTGTTAAAATGACACCCTGTATTTTTATTATATCGATCGTTAGGGTTAAGTATAAGGATGAAATCTCCCTAACAATCTTGATAAATCAAATGAAAGGATAACCATGAAATCTTAAATTATTTTAATTATGTTACAGAAAATCGTATGGTATGGTAGTGAATTTTCGAAAAATTTTCGAAAATTTTTGAATGCAGTTCTCTTTCTTTTCAAAAATAAAGGAATGTTTTCTTTCAGTAAAATGTTCTATCTAAAGTATTAAGAGTACTTTCCCTCCAGGTGGCATTACAAAATTCCGGGTGTCATACTTGCTATCGAACGTTGAAGTATCTATTGTCTAGATATCGACAACTATGCATCAACGGGTCGCTACATCTACGGTACTCCATATTAAAAGTCATGAAATCAACGGGTCGCTACATCTACGGTACTCCATATTAAAAGTCATGAAATCAATCGGTTGTTTAATCAGTGTCATGACATCAAAAGTCGCGGTGGGTAAATTATACAATTTTAAATCACTCATGGTTTTTATAAAATATGTGACCAATGGCCAAGCAAAACATGGCAGTGACAACGTACCAGAATCTATACTAATATTATAAATCCGAAAGTGTCTCTGTCTGTCTGTCTCGCTTTCAAGCCTAAACCACTGAACCGATTTTGATTAAATTTCTCTCACTTTAAGCGGCATTGGATTTTTAATCGGATTTTGAAACTGTTATAGATATATTAAAGATGATCCCATATTGCTGTCAACGGAACGGGGCAACAACGACTAGGCGCTGCTGCGGAGACATTTGAGTAGGTACATACGCGTGCGTGTGTGTGACGAAGTCCTTGCGAGCAAATCCGTGGGTTGCGGGCGTACGTTAAGAAACCCATGNTGATAGTCAATATGTTTACAAAGTAACAGCCAGTAATATCGAATGAAGCTCACAACAATAGGATATGAACACTTAGTATTGCTTAGTATTCTATCTGTCCCTAATTAGTTGACCACGACTGTATATAGATAAAGTCTGAAATCAATATTATGTCAGCCCACACGATAGTAGCAAAGAGAAAATCACATTCATAGAGTACAAAATGTCGTTTATTGGACTATGTGTATTTTGCAAAATGTCGCTTTTGTAAGACATTTTTTGAGCCGAATAAATAGCTATTTATTTTATACGATTGTTACCAGACCTATTAAACGCCAGGAACCATAATATTGATTGTGCGCACTTTTGTTACAGATCGAAATATACGAAAGCAATGGCGGCCACAACTTCCTATCGGCCGGCGAGATGCCGCTGCCCGCTTTATACAGCATGATGTCATTAATATTCTTCCTAAGCGCTGGATTCTGGACTTTCATCCTGCGTACCAGCAGACACCCCGTATACAGGATCCACATCATCATGTGTGTGCTGGTGTATCTCAAAGCGCTGTCATTGGCCTTCCACGGAATCAACTACAACTTCATACAGAGGCGGGGAGAGCACGTGACTGCTTGGGCTATTATGTACTACATTACGCATTTGTGAGTATATATATAAAATAAAAAATACTGCTCATATAGTATATGTATTTGCGCTGTCAAAAGCAATGATATGATGCGTGATTTTTATGGCAATCATAATAAGACGCCAATTTAAATAGAAACTAAAAATCGAAGTGTGCAATTAAATGGAATCTTAATTGGTTTTCAAAATGAATAAAAGCATTTTTACGACTATTTGTGCATTGGAATCGCTGGTTGATGTCATAAAATATTGAATTATTGCCTACCGATACTTTACGCTTAGTTTTTAACTTCTTAACATTTTGATTGGTCACCAATTTTTAAGTATTTTTTTTCCAGTTATGATACAAACCCATTAACATCATTGCGTTCTGAGTATTTATGAGCTTAAAATAACACTTGAAGTTGAACAAGTCAAGGTATATTTGAACTAAAACACTGCTTTAAACCGAAACTAACAGGAGTGCGTTTCGTTTCAGGCTCAAAGGTGCCTTGCTCTTCGTGACTATAGTGCTAGTGGGCACTGGGTGGAACTTCATCAAGAATATTCTGACCGACCGCGACAAGAAGCTGTTCATGATCGTCATACCACTTCAGGTTAGTGACTCCGTAATTTAGAAGTTAGAAGGGTCTCGAGAGTTTGATTGCCACATTTGGAATGTCTTTAAATCGCTTGCGCGTAATTATATAGCATGGGGTCAATGTACGAATTCTATTTGCTCTTCGACCGGACTTTAGTCTTTATTTACTAGGATTTACTACTATAGACTTTGTCTACCTAGGTAAAGATTCCAATTGGACAGAGCTGAAGGAGAGAAGTAGTTAATTAAAAAAAAATTGTAGGTGTTTTAAAACAACGCTGACAACTTGAGATAATTATTAGATTCTGCGCTATGATTGCTTGGTCTAATTTCAGCTTATCGATAACTCGTGAAATTAGAGTTTTCGCGATTGAAAAATCCGCCAGATGGCAATACGTAGACGCGAGGTCCAAATGCTTCGTGATTGGTGGATTTTGACATATCTGTCAATGTCATGTCAAAAATAACCAATCATGTCTCTTTCCGGGTTGATTAGTGTGCCTTTAAACTGTAAGGCTGAGTTGCACCATTTTACTTTAACAAACGTCAAAAATCTGTCAAATCCCATACAAAAAACCACGGTTATTGTTATAGTTACGGTTAAAGTAAATTCAAATCAGCTTAATTTCTGGATTCGGGTGCAGGGGCTTGTGGCTGAGTGTGGAATCATGGAACTATTAATTATTTACCTACGGCTTCGACCGCGTGTGGTTTGGCCTGTCACGGATCCTTCTGGATCGTAGATTATAAATAATGATGCTTTAAGTTTCGCTAAAATCCGTTCAGTGGTTTTTGCATGAATGAATATGTACTCATATAGATGTATGTGTAAACATAATAAACTTTCATATATATAATAATAGTAGGATGTAAACTACATAATATCTTTTCTGTATCTCAACTGACATTGAGTTGGCTATCGGGATGATCTTTGTTTTGTTGTGTATTGTTTAGGTAGTGTTGTGTGAACTTGTGTGGATAGGTATTGGTAGCATTATTTCAACCTTTACTAGTAATATTGGTAATAATTTAAGGGAAACCTGTTATTGGCCATATTGTATGTTAAATTTATGTATGGTAAAATTGTATAAATATTAGANTATTATGGAGTACTGTAGATGTAGCGACCCGTTGATGCATAGTTGTCGATATCTAGACAATAAATACATCGACGTTCGATAAAAAAACATTCATTGTAACGTACTAATTAATATAGAGTACCGTAGATGTAGTGACCCGTTGATGCATAGTTGTCGATATCTAGACCATAGATACTTCAACGTTCGATAGCAAGTATGACACCCCAAAATTCCACCCTGTATAATATTTCCGAGAGGAGGCTACTCGTCCCCGGCTTGGTCGCGCAGGAAGGCCCGCAGCGCGTCGCGCAGCGCGTAGTTGGGGTGCAGGCGCGCGTTGCGCAGGCGCCGGCCCGACAGCGGCGACGACCCGCCCGCCACCAGCCACTCGCGCAGCGCGCGCCGCTCGTACGAGAACCCGTCCGCCGCGCGCGCCGGCTCGCGCAGCAGGCGGTGCGACAGCGGGCACAGCAGCGCGTGCGGCGCCGACCGCGCCTGCGCACCCAACCATACCTCACTCCGTATCCTTGCAAAATGCTCATCATCATTTCAGCCATAGGACGTCCACTGCTGAACGTAGGCCTCCCCCAATGACTTCCACATCGCACGGTTGGTAGCGGCCTGCATCCAGCGCCTTCCTGCTACCTTTATCAGGTCATTCCACCTTGTGGGTGGACGTCCCACGCTGCGTTTTCCGGTACGCGGCCTCCATTCCAGATCCTTGCTGCCCCATCGGCCATCAGTTCTGCGTACTATGTGCCCTGCCCACTGCCACTTCAGCTGGCACGGCTTCGCACCAACCGTGCGATGTGGAAGTTATTATGGAGGCACTTGTTCAGCAGTGAACGTCCTGTGGCTGAAATGATGATGATGATGATGATGAGGACGTTGGACAAAATATCCTGACACATTTTTTGATTTTTATCTTCCTTTTCGTATACTAAGCACAGGCAGGTAACAGTGCTTAACAAAATAGGTTCCTACAGTAGTGATACGGGAAGGTGAGTTTTGTTACGTCACTACGTCTGCGAAACCTCTGATGTGCTTCAGACATGTAGACCGTGACACCTCTGTTACGTCACTTGTCACCCCTCCAGCAGTTCTACCACAGCAAGAACCAACTCAGTTAAGCGCTGTGGCTGAAGACCCTTGTTCACGTGCACCGTTAGCAAAGAACATGGGAGGTACTACTCCCCTGAAGCCAGTCGTCGTTGGTCAAACAACGAGCCACAGTCTGGAGCGGAGCCGCGAAAGAATGTCTAGGCCGTCTAACTCGGACAATAACTCGCAGTTCCGTCCCATTTGGGAGGACACCGTCAGGTTTTAATTAGTAGGCCCTGCCCATCTGGCAGGGAGAGCCTCACATAACCGACTGGTTCCTCCGGGCCAGAGGGTATGCAATTTCATGCATTTCCTGACGAAAAAAAAGACCCTTCTAGTTCTCGTAGTTTGTGTCGTCGTGTCCTCGCTACTGACCAGCGCGGGCGGCGGGGGCGCGCGCCGCAGCCACTCGAGCTCGTCGCGCAGGCGCGCCCGAAGCGCCGCGCGGCCCTGGGCTTCCTCGGACTTCTCTTCCACTGCAGACTCCTCGTCCTCGCCTGTACAATTTAATATTTTAGTTTTCCTCGATAACTGATGTCCGAAAGTAAAACCGACGAAATACATTATAAAGAAAACAAAGGCAATGTTCAAGGGGTGTGAAGAACGCAAAAGTCGCGTTCAATACCAATTATGTTATACATTGCTACTGATAATGCTAAAAGAACACGGTAGTCATTATAGAAAGTACGGACGTGCTTGTCCTTGGAAACATTTAACAAGGTGAGTTTATAAATTGTTCCTGTACCTACCTATTTGTTAGAAGTTTCAGAAAGGTCGAGACAACAAAAATGTGGTAAATCATATAAAATATTAATATAATAGGTGAAAGAAAAATACAATAACTTCGACTTGAAATATTTTGTGGTTATGTTCGAAATTAGAAACGTGACTCGTGAAGAGTCATGTTCATGCTCACTACAGCCGAAGACGGCGGCTAGCAGGTCGGGCACGGCGTCGTCCAGCAGCCGCGCGCCCGACAGCGCCGCCGCGCGCGCCGCCTCCTCCGTCTCCACCGCCAGCTCCGCCGACACCAGCCCCATGCCTGTGCAGAGCGAGCGGTCAGAGCGGCTCCACCGAGCGCGGTCGGCGGCAGACGGGAGGCGTACCCGGCGCTCGCGTGACGTACTCGCGCAGCCAGCGCACCACGCCGGCCTCGTCCCAGAAGCGCGGCGCGTCGGCGTCGTCGTCCAGCGCGCCCGCGCCCTCCGCCGGCAGCCGCCACAGCGCCAGCTCGCCGCTCAGCGTGCCCACCGCCACCAGGGAACCGCCGTCTGTCGACCGTTATATTTCTACCCTTTATATCACAGACAAAGGTTCTGTGATCTGTTCATGCGGCATCGCTCGGACAAAGAAGTACGAGAATAATTATTTATCGTAGTAATTCACCAGCGTCATCTAGCAAGGCCACCGCGGGCGCGCCGCCCGCGCCCCCCGCCGGCACCGCGGCTAAGGCGCGCAACTGCACCCCCTCGCCCCCCGCGCCCCCCTCGCCCTCGCCGCGCCGCCCGCGCCACACGCGCGCCCAGCGGTCGCCGCCGGCCGACGCCAGCAGCCCCGCGCCGCCCCAGCGCACGCACGACGCGCCGCCGCCGTGCGCGTGCACCACGCGGACCATGCGCATCTGCGCAGTTGCCGCCTCCTGGAATTATCATTTGTTATAGGGTGCCGCTCTCTCGGGCCCGGCCACGGAAGTCAAAATCGATGTTTCACCTCGTCGATCTCGATCAGCCACAGCCTCACGAGCGAATCGGCGCCGGCGGTGGCCAACAAATACGATCCCTCCCCGTCCGGCATGCCGGGCACGCTGCCGTTCGCCGCGAAGTCGCAGCTCTGGACGCCTGCTGGAGATACGAGCGCGTTAATGAGGACGGTCGAACGTAGTACGGTGATGTGACCCCGCGGCCTGGCTTATGATTCTTGCCGAGATCGTGCGCCTGCGGCTCCTGATGCAGAGTACAAGGCGTCGGCGGCGCGGCGTGGATGACGAGCTCCCCGCTGGTGGCGCCCGTCGCCAAGATTCGACCGTCACTCGACCACGCACAGCACGTGGCAGCCTCCGCGTGACCTCCGTATATGCTGGAAAATAAATGTTAAAGGTAGCATTGTAAAAACTTATTTTGTACTTGCTTGTTTAGTAAGTAAAAATACAAAAAAGATAAGGTCATTATTCTCAATATTCAAAAGAAAAACGTACTGTAATGGGTGGGGATCTGGGTCAGCGAGGTTCCATATAGGGGCAAGTCCATCGTCAGTTGCTAGTAGAAGAAGTGGCGGGCGGTGGGGGGATATTCTGGCGCCACGCACCCCGCCGCCGCCGGAGTCGCCGCCGGCACCGTTACCGCTCGGTACCATCAGCGACCGCAGGACTATACCCATCTAGACAGAACAATAATGCATTACATAATCAAGATTTAATATCTATTACTAAATTTCTTAAACTGGAACAGTAAATAATTATAAAAATGTTTTTTTTTATCCACAACAAGGAAGCTCTTGGCCTGTATCTCACCTGATGATAAGTGACGATCAGGCCGAAGGTGAAAGCGAGCTTCACCTGGAATCCTCAACCACGGAGGAACTGGCTAACTTACCTCTAACTGCCGGAACACAGCAGTGCTGTAAGATGGTGGTAGCTAGCCAGGCGGACTTAGAACAAGCCCTACCACCAACCAAACCGAACAGAAAAATCTGCCCCCACTGGGAATCAAACTCGGGACCTCTGCGTCTGAAGCAGGTGATCTTACCACTAGACCACAGAGGCGGTTAATGTGCGCTAATGTGACGGATACCTGGACGTCCCACAGCAGCGCGCAGCCGTCCAGGCCGGCCGAGAGCAGCAGCGCGCCGCCCGCGCCCAGCGCGCACGTCAGCGCCGGGTACTCGTGCGCCGCCAGCGCCTGCAGCGGCGCCGCCGCGCCCTCCGCGCCCTCCGCGCCGGCCCAGCGGTACACGCGCACCTGCCCGTCGCTGACCAACAAAGCTTATCAATATGACTATTGACTCAGTGTCATCCGAGGAAGATTTAATGAACGTTCCTGACAACGCCACTCTTACAGCGGAGTTTTGGGACAGCACTGTATAGGTTTGTTGTCGACACAAAAAGAAGAAGGGCACCTGTATTAGGAGAGAACACACCTCGAAGCGGTTGAGAACAGATCCCCGTGCACTGAAATACAATTGATCGGGCCGGAGTGCGCGCGCTCGTGCCACACGCGCCGCGAGCCGTTCTCGTCCGCCTCGCCCTCGCCGCCCTCCGCGCCGCCGTCGTCCAGCTCGTCGTCGTCTACTGGCCCTATACCCTGGAATCAGGTGCATTATGTTATTGTATTTCTTTTGAATTTGATTTCGTTTACATTAAAAATTTACATTGAGGTTTAAAGTACTATAATGAAGTAAAAAGCGATTGGGGAATTAGATCAAACCTCCAGATCTCCAAGACCAAAGTGTGCGAGTGCAGCACACGCCGGTTCCAGCTCATCATCGATAGTCAGAGACCCGAGCGACCACATTCGAAGTGATTTGTCGTTGGAACCTGCAAAAATATTATTTTATATTTAAAACTCTACGAAGGACCACAGTGAATCGGTCATTTTATAGTATGAACTCTCACCGGTGATCATGTATTGCAAGTCGTAAGCGAGAGCCACACACGTGAGGTATCGAGGATGCGCCTGGACGATATGAACACACGTGCCCGAAGCCGCCTGCCAGAGGCGCGCCGTGCGGTCGAGCGACGCCGAGGCCAGCAGCGCGTCGGCGTCGGCGCCGCCCGCCCAGCGCAGGCTCGTGACGGTGGCCGCGTGCCCCTCCAGCGCGCCCGCCGCGCCCAGCGCCCAGCGGCCTCCGTCGTCTCGCGTCGCGCGCCACAGCTGGATCTTGGCGTCGTGCCCGCCCGTCGCGGCGGCGCGCCCGCTTTCGTTAGCATCGGCACACATCGCACCTAGGTCATGCGCTCCGTCGATCCACGTGAGTGGAGTCGGATTGGTTTCCTCGTTACCGCCTCTACATATATCTGCAAAACCATAAATAAGGCTTCCTCGTTTACATGATACATGTACGGTAGGTACATAGAATGAAAATTTTTGAGCAGCTCTTGCAAGAGAAATAGGATACGGAACGAACATACCCACCTACCAAATCGAACACCTTGAGCACACCCTCGGTGCAGGCGGTGAGCAGCAGCGCGCCGCCGGCGGGCGCGGCCACGGCGTGCAGCGCGCCCTCGTGCGCCGCCAGCCGCGCCAGCACGCACGCGCGCGCCACGTGCCACACGCACAGCACTCCGTCGTCGTGACCTATGGTAATAAAAACCGCGGGCGAAGCCGGGGCGGACCGCTAGTATTATTTATAAATCGGATAACTTAAAGAATTTCTCCTATACAACAAACCTTTTATAAGTTTAGATATATATTATCAATTATGTCTTCATAAATACTTTTGCGCAGGAGAACTAAAGTGACCGACATAGCTCGCAGAATAGTTAAAATCAAGTGGCAGTGTACGGGGCACATAGCTCGTAGAGACTAGTGGGGCAGAAAAGTTCTCGAGTGGCAACCACGGGCCGGAAGACGTAGCGCGGGCAGGCCTCCTACTGACGATCTGGTGAAGGTCGCGGGAAGAACCTGGACGCGGGCAGCGCAGGACCAGTCGTTATGGTAATTTTCGGGGGATTCCAGTCAGCCTGTGACCACGGCCGGTGCAACTCGGTCGAAACGTCAAGCAGGTAATATTTCAATTTTACCTATCCGCGTATCGCGTTAAAACCTGTTTAAATTAATTCAATCTTCGGGGGAGGCCTTTGTCCAGCAGTGGACGTCATTTGACCGAAACGAACGAAATATTATGAAAATGTGTGGGCACCTGCGAGCAGCCTGGTGCCGCCCACCCAGCAGAGCGCGCGGGCGGCGGCGGCGCGCGGCGCGGCGAGCGTGCGGCGCGGCTCGAGCGCGCGCCCGCCCCACACGCGCAGCGCGCCGTCCACGCCGCTCGACGCCAGCAGCGCGCCGCCCGGCGACCAGCGCGCGCCCGTCACGCCGTACCTTCGCAACATCATCATCGCTATACCAGAGTATGTAAATACAAATGAGTAGATCATCTTCATAGAAACGCACCGAGCGCGGTTTGTATGTGAGCGCGCGTCAATACGTATGGGGCGCGCACGCACACACTGACAAAATTCGAAAAAGCCCCGCTAATCCACGCAAAAATTTGTCAGTGTGTGCGTGCACGCCGCATACGTATTGGCGCGCTCACATACAAATCGCGCTTGGTTCGTTTCTATGAAGATGACCTACTCATTTGTATTTACTCTGACTATACTCCGTCGCTGCGGCACAGAATAATAATAAGTACTACGTACAGAAGTTTTACTTCGCGGAGGTATTTAAAAAAATGTATGCTCAATGTCATTAACAATATGGTGTAATTTAGCCTGTCTCAAGAGTCAAGCACCATTTTGTTGACAAACGTCAGTGATCGGCACTGCGCCGAAGCTATAGGACTGACTTCGGTAAAATGATGTAACGTGAGGTGCCAAACTGCGGAAAATGGCGGAGGAAATACATGATTTAGCATGAATTATCATGAATAATATTAACTACTTATTTACCTCTCAGAGTCTTGAGGCAACTTAAAAAAGTACGACATTCTGTGTTTTTATTATTTAGGCAGTTAAATACTGCACAGTATTTAGTACACCATTTTCTTTATTTTCTTCCATCATACACAAGAATACGCGTGCGTGAGTCAATGTTCGCTCGTATGTGAGGCCTTGTCGAATAGTATCCTGTAGGTGGGCCATCGTGCGTGTTTTGTTTTCGATGTAAACTCGCGGAGATGAACAAGCCTGGCTGCGGCGTCAATACGACCATAAATACCTACCTAATTCTAAGTTAGTACGTTCTATACGAGTACTTTAATAGTTACTTTTTAAAGTAGCCACTATCGTAGCGTTGATATCATGATGACTGTCACAACACAATAATTATGTTAACCATACTCATTTGTATTTTTGGTTCCTAAAGTGAAGGACGACCCGGGTAAACAGTTACAACATCACGCGATCAAACACATCGACCTGTGCTCGACATACATATTTGACTAGCTCCCTCGATACTAAATGGTCAAATATCGGAAATCGGTTTTCTTTCACGCCCATATTGTTGCTAACCACTCGGCTACGAATTTACCAGCACGACTAAAACATAATATGCGTTACTAGCGGCCGCCCGCGACTTCGTACGCGTGAATCCTGTTTTTCCCGCTAATTCCCGTTCCCGTGGGAATTTCGGGAATTCCTTTCTTAGTGCACCTCTACGGTACCTAAGCTACGTCCCTTCCAAATTTCAAGTGCCTACGTTTAGCCGTTTAGGCTGTGCGTTGATCTGTCAGTCAGTCAGTCAGTTTCTCCTTTTATATATTTAGATTCCTTACAATGATCATGATGTTAATGTTTTATAAGCATAGCATTTTTTTAGCATAGCATTTTTTATTATTATTTATTTAGGCAAAACAATGCTTATACATCATTATAATTTATATATTTTTTTTTTTATAAAATGTTGAGTATTCAGATTGTAGAGTATGTTTTGCTTAATGTAAATCGAACTCACAATTGTCAAATAAGTTAACATTATCAAAATATTTACAAATAACTGTTGATCCTTATAATATAGATATCTTTTATTGTTCACTGCAGTGCAGATAGTGTCCTTGCATACTCACCGGTGTGCATTTCGCACGACGGCGTCCTCGGCCCAGCCGCCGCCGCCCGCCCAGCGCCACAGCCGCAGCGTGCGGTCGCCGCCGCCCGCCGCCAGCCGCGCGCCGCACGCGTCCGCGCACGTCACCTCGCCGCGCAGCGCGCGCACCGTCTGCAGCAGCCGAGGCTCGCCCACCTCCATCAAGCCTGCCCTGGCTGCTCTCACGCACACGGAACCATCGACCGGGAGCGTGACTCAGCTGCAGCCCACTGGGACCGATTCCCGAATTCCGCTATCCCAGACCTTTGCTTCAACTGGTACCAAGGTACATTTGGTCCTTCGGATATAAAGGCCGATTTTCACTTTCACCGATTCACTTTTATTTTATTTTAACCGATTAACCGAAAACCAAAAATAAATACTCCGTTTACACTGATCACTGGTGGTTTAAATAGCTGCTTACACGCACAAACGGAAATAATAGGATGAATTCAATCCAGAGTCAAATTGACACTAAAAGTTTGAACCGCACCCGTCAAGGTTTGTTGGAAAGTAAGTGGATATTATTAAATGCTACCTGCGACCGTAAGCCCGTAAGCCCGCAAGCACGGAGTGACGCCGGGCGGCGGGCAGCGAGTGGCGTGGTGCGGAGGAGCCGCCGCTGCTGACGTGGCCGGACCTCTGTATCGATTACCGCCTGCGACTGACTTAAAAACCCTCACGCGACGCCTCAATTATTAATTTATTACCGACCTGTTGTTGGTCAATCGGCAAATGGATGTTGATTATAAAATCTATACCCACTGTCATTAGTTTTGTTTGTGTTGCTTCGCATGCTTATTTTTATTGTTACGAGTAGTAGCAACAATTATTCAAAAACTTTCAGAAATAGGTACAAAGGTCATCAACAAAAATAATCCCATAGTTGCCCTTGCACACTAATCTCTTCTTTTCTTTCTTCTCAATCTCTCTCTCCTACATTGTAGTGTCAAGTGGATGTCTGGATAAAAGTAACAAGACGAAATAAATAATTTTAAAAGTTGGAATCCGGGCAACTGGGCCCACCGTCAATATGCATAAAAATCTATAATATTGTTTAATAATAGGTAATAATTAAACCGGCTTCTTTTTAATGATATTATGTTATTCATTTAACTCAGTATGGCAGGACATACTGAGGCCACAAAATAAGACAGAAGGTAATTTCCATAATAAGCGCGCTCGAACTATGCACACAGACACCGCTCACGTTAAGCTCGTGGAGTGGCATAAATGATACATAAGTAATTAAGCAGTCACTGTAGTTAAGTTCCAATTATCTATTCTGTTGTATAGAATAGGACTACTTCTTTTTCGTATTGTATTTGTGTCGCTTTGTGTGTTTAGATATTTCTGCGCCGTGCCTTGCGTGATCACAGTGGTTAGTCATCGTCTTCCTCAGCACTATGGCACTACTTACTTCGCCAGAGGAATCACAAGTATCAACACCTGCAGTAAGTCGCTGCTGAACCAATGCGTATGTGGATGTTCTTACCTACTCTATTGTGTAAGTATTCTACTGTTTTTTTTTTATAGTGTAGTTGATAAATTCAACGGTGGAAAATCTGTTAACTTGCGGTACCTACCTATACTTGAGAGCGTCGATTCGATTTAGCAATCGACTCGACTCGAATCGACGCTCTCAAGTACCTATAGGTCTCCTAGGGGCGACTCTTGCAACTTTTTAATTTGGAGCCGACTAATTTATTCGTAATTTACACGTTTACTTTAATCTTTTATGAATTGAAGAATTTCATATCTGTCTTTTAATAGCAAATACAAGTCGTATTTCTGGCATTCCAGGGCACCTGCTACTGCGATTGTCTGCCGCTGCGGAGCCATCAGCCACACGCCTGTCAGCCACTGCGGGTCGCGGCGGCACTAGCGTCAATGGCCTACGACTAACAAGTGAAAGCAAGTTTAGAATTCCCATAAAAAATAAATTTAATATTGTACATAATGTAGTCACACGAAGAATGTTGTACCTAATTGGTTGTAATTTCTATAGGAAATTACAAATCCTACTTAATTACAATGCGTAATGATTAATACATAAATTCTTCCACAGGACAGGCAATGCCTAGTGTGGAAGTCTGTCTTTTAGTTATTGTATTGTTTGATTCTGGCAATAAATATTTTTCATTTTCGTTTTCATAATTACAATAATTTCCATACCTGCATTTCAGGATGCCTGCCACTGCGGGACCATCAGCCACAACGGGGTCGCTGCAACACCAGCATCGCGAAGAGAGTCTACCTAAGACGAACAAGTGAAGGCAAGTTTGGTTTAAAAAATATACAAATCTATATTGTACATAATGCAGTCACACTCTGTCCATTTTATTACAATAAAATTATGTTAAAACTAGCTTTTGCCCGCGGCTTCACCCGCGTGAAATTCAGTTTGTCACATATCGTCATAAATTATAGCCTATAAACTATGTTATTCTGGGTTATGATCAATAATACTTAGTATGCTTGGATTATTAATTTAATATTTCATATTTTTGCTTTTTTTAATATTAAAATGTCAAGTAAGTAACAAACGTTGACGTCACATTTCAGGAGCTGTCCGGCTCGTGAGGCGTCGCGCGGGCGACGACGGAATAGGAGGTCGACAGGTTCGTTTCATGTTCTGCTTATTTCAATATTTTATTGATGGTTGGTTAATTAAAAACAGTCATTAAGCACATTATTGAATACTAGCTTTTGCCCGCGGCTTCACC